AACCTTTTTCAGTCTTTGAGATTGACTTTCCTTATGAAAATCAACTTTTATATTTTAATACCTTGTGTTTGGACAACTTCATATTCACAACAACAACACTATCTTCGTGATTTTTGAAAGTCGTCCTTTTTATCATCGATCGTCGATCTTTGTCTTTCGTCTTTGCTTATGGTGGCCAAGAGAGACGAAATTATTGATAAATTTCTTTCTTGGCCAGATTTTAATAATATCATTATTCTTTTGGATCATTTCAGCGATGTAATTATTTGGCCTGTTGACCCACCAATGACAAATTGATTAAAAAATTACATTATATTAAACTTTTGACCTCATTTCTACAACTTGATCGTATTTTTAGGCTCATCTAGATAAGCATATCTTCTTCGGAGTCAATAATTTCCATGATAATTTGCAGTTTTTGCTTGTAGAATTTGTACATTCCATAGTTTAATCGAACATGTTAAGTTCAAGATGCTGTAGTCTTTATTATGATTACGGTCTCCTTATGTTGTATTGCCCAAATTATAGCCTGGCGATTAACTACTGGCAGATTTTTAGTTACTAGTTCGCTTTTTTTATTTTATTTGTACTTTTAAATTTTATCTTTAAGTTACCAATTCTTTGCGCAAAACAATGTTTGTTTCTGCGAAATGCTTTTAAGAAAGGCAATTAATCCGAAAATTGTAACATACTGATGAGATGCTTATTTATAGGAAACAATTTAGGCGCTACTAATTACTTCGTTATTTATTCCGGACATTGTAATTAGAATTGCTACACAAAAGACCCTAGACTTCATCAAAATTGGGACCTTTGAAGCATTTTACTTCATCCTATTCAATAGAAAATGTTAGTAACAATTTATTAAAATGATTTGGTGATTAACTTGAATACTGTCGTATACTATTCAATAATCTTTACGCAAATGCGCTTTATTTATTCGAAGCAAAGCTCCCATCTTTACCAATTATTTTTTTAAACTCAACTTTCAGATTTCGCACAGCCTTGATGTGCGCCTTTCGGAACACGTGGGTGGATGCCTCTTGATCGAATGGCTATCCAGTGACAAGCCTCTTAAACAATATAGCGAAATTTGTTCACAAACTGGAGATTGCGGTATACAACCTGATTGTCAAGATGGCAGTCTTTACTTAGAAAAATCTTATTTTGCATCGGCTTATTCTCCAGCGACCTTGGCTTCGATTCTTTTCCCTGTTTGTCGTTGGCGTCAGGATTCAATAAGCTCCTCTGATGAAGAGGTAGCACACTCTGTTTCCTCAAACGTACCTAGAAGACATCGGTTCTGTGCTGAGCTATTTTGCTTCTCTGGTCTCCGGCTTTCAAATATTGCTAAATTGCGTATCTCTATTGCTCCTTTAGTCCAAAATGATGCTTCCATCCGATGGAGCGCTGGTAGAGCTGAATCAGATTGCCTTGATGATTTAGAGTTAGATGTATTTGTAGACATAATTCCAGCTCATCTTATTTTGGAGAGGCCGCCTCAATTATCCAGAGTTCAGTTGCGGCCCAACTCCAGTAAGTCAAGGAGTGGTAGTTATTATTGTGAAGGAATTAAGGGAAAATTTGAGCATTGAATCAAGGATCTTTTAAGATTTCACCTATTTGAATTTAACTTATATATTTTTCATTTTGCTGTATGCAATTAATTTATTGGC